TTCACCAGGGATGATTCAAGGGGAGTTCTACCTTACTTCATCATATACCTGCTCATTTATGCACTATATTTTATCATATGTTTGTATTTACATCTTAGGATATGCTTATCATATGATATCATTCATTGCATGAATTTGCATGAGTTTTATTAGTTGCATGACATTCATTTCATTTAATAAGTATGTTGTGCATTAAAGCATGCATTGCATTTAAGCATGTATTTCATTTAGGGAAGTAGTTCATTTATGTATCTAGTTATTTAATAAACTAATTCATTCATGCATTTAGTTCATTGAATAATGTTATTTCATTAATCAAAATAACTCTTAATTATCCCATACATATTTACATGTTATGATTGAATAAAGTTATCTTTATGTTTAGGTGCAATAGGGAAGCTGAACAGTCTCAACATATGCAAGATTATCAGTCAGAATGTCTTCCAATTCTGGATTTGATACAGACGTGTTTGGGTCCAACAATCAATTGGAAAGTATTCCTATATCTCTTAGCTTTCCATTTCCTTTTGAATCACCTCAATCTGAAATCGGGAGCTTGAGATATGATCGATTTATTGAAGGCAGTGCAGGCTGGAATTTTGTTACGGGAATTTTATGCATGGATGATTTGGATGAGTTTGAGCCAAGTGAGAGTCTTTTCAACTTCAGCCAAGTGACAAGCCATTGAAGGACTCTTAATTCACTCATTAAAGGCATTCAAAGATGATTGTTATCTTCTAAGTTCAAGGGTTGTTCATATTCTTCAAGGGAGAATGCAATGAAAGGTGATTTAATTCACTTATCAAGACAATTTTCAGCATGGAATAGCAAGAGTCTTCCTCCCCTTGGACGAAATTAAGACCAAATTCAGCTTCAATTGTCTAGATTCATCCCCAAAATGATCTAGAATATCCATCCAACTTTGAAGATAAGAAGACAAAGCATTCAAGTGCATTTTATTGCTAAATTGATGAGAATGTTTTCATCTTTTGAGTCTTTTCATATGCTTCTTAGAAATACTATAAATAGGAACCTTTAGGATCATTTGTAGTCACACACTTGAATATATAAAACATCTTTGAGAGGTTGCTTTCATTCTTGTTCTCTTGTAGAACTTTTTCGGCTTCAAGATAGTCTTGTAGTCTTCATCTATTTCCTTTTGTTATAGCGTTGGTTCCTAGCTCATATATAGCTAGTGGGTCACGTTCCATATGCTACCATTTCGATTCCATTTTTTTATATTGTTGGTTCTTAGCGCCAAATAGCTAACGGGTCACAATCCGCTTTATCCTTACAACACTTACCACGACAACATCATTTGCCACGACAACTCCATTCATACTTCACCATCTATTTTCATTATCATTAAACCACAACAACCATCACTCTTCCATCACCTTCAAACAACTTCCTCATTCTTTTCATTCCATCATTTCAATTATTATTTCATATCATTTCCTTCTTATGTTTATATTTATGCAATTTTAGATTTCAAGCTATCATTACGAGGTTTCTTACTAGAATCACGATCGGTATTCACATATATGATTCGAAACACATAATCGGGATCATATCAGAAACTTTGGAAATCACTTTTTTACTTTTCAAAAATTTCATTTCCAGAAAAGATTTAAATGAGAAACTTTGGAAATCGCTTTCTATTTTTCAAAATAACTTAATGGTTGTGTATCATGCCCCACTTTAAAGTAATTATTCATCTGTTGATTAGCCCCCTGTTATTCAGGTTATACCTCTATAAACATGATTCCTTGTATTTGAGGTTTGAATTCTACCTTCCACTTGTTAGGATTTTAACATCAAGATTCTTCCCTTTTCACATGAAGATCTGTAAAAACCATGTGTTTATGTGTGAAATACGAATGCCATTAAATGAATCAATGTAATACATTTTCTTTTATGTAAATGATGTTCTCATGAATGCATAAATATTGATTCAATCTTCATTTGACTTCAAAGTGGAGAACTCAGTCTTCTTCCACTTGATCACTTCTCTACATAATTTACTCAGATATCAATGTAGCAACTCATCATTTCAAGCTTGCAACTTTTGAATATCTGCCTAATCATCTTATGGTCTTTGTTTTCTGTTTTCATTTTGGAGGAAGTGTTTTCTCTCTTAAATTCTTGCTATGGTCGAAAATATGACCCTGATGCCCCTTTCTGTCCTTCGCTCAAATACGCTATCAGAGTTGTTTTTCTGGGACTCTGTCATTAATTGATGCTTGACTAACTTGATTTACAAGGTAAGCTATGCTCAAATTCATGTTCTGCCTAGGACACTCCAAGTTGTGAGACTCATTCTCAATATCTTCTTGGTTTGAATCATGTCATCTCAACATGATCTTGGTTTCTGGTCATGCCCCAAAGTGGGTATTTTCATGACCCATCCCTAATTGAGTGCCAAAATTTCATCCTTGATTGGTCTCACTCTTGCATTCTGCCATGAGTTGGGATATGTGCCCCTTTCAAATAAGGTAATCATCTACTTCTCGATGGGTTACCGACAATGTTACGAGGAAGTGTTACAAGTTATATTCTCCATTCCTTCTCATCTCTCGGACCACTTACTTTCAAGAAGGTGGAGTTCTTCATGTTCTGGCATCGCTTATTCTCTCTCTCCAATAGAGGCTTAAAGGGCCTCACATGCTCCAAGGACTTTTCACATTTGAGACTATCATGTTTGAAAATGTTTTTCTCCTTTCTTTTATTTTAGAAATCAAAGAATATAATAATTTTGTAAAGTATTGCCCCTTCATTCATTCTCATAATCGAATCAAATCATAAACATGAGTTCACAAAATATCAAAAGAATCAACAGCTCTTTAATGTTTTCAGAGTTATAGCTCTTTGACAAGTATCAAAATTGATAGGTTGGATTCTTATTTTCTAAGGTTTCATCCATTGAAACATCCTCGTTTGTTTATATGCCAATGTGAACCTTATGACATGTCCTTCTTTCTCGGCTTGGCATATTAAGTGGATGCAAACAAAATGAACCAACTAGCATATTCAATTGCTAGACTTTTTGGAACACTTCCATTTCAGTTCTCTAAAATCTTTCATTTGTTCAAGCTTTGTAGACGCCTCTAACAAAGGCAATGCAGAAATATCAGACTAAAAATGAAATTCCTGAGTGCTTGTGTGAAATTGATTATAACAGGTGTTCCTTAACTCCCTTAGTCCATCTTTACCGAAACTCCTTATTTAGATAAATTTGATTTAATTTTTCATTGTTGGGATAGCTAAATTTAGCTTTATTGTGTGTGTGTGTGTGTGTGTGTATATTGCCTTTATCATGCTAGTTGAATCTTATCCATAAAGTCGGGAGTTTAATTAATTGCTCTAGAGGGATGGCTCAAGCTTTATTATATACATATATAATTACATTCTGGGTATACGGATTCAATTTCTTAAGCTTATCGAGAAGAACCTATTATAGTCTAGGTGTTGTTGAAAGTAAAAAAATCTCATCTTTAGAGTTCAATTTCCAAGCAACTAACCTAAAATAGATTCACCTACTTGACTATTTCATCTGTAAAGATCATGGTTATCATTGAACGTCATCAACAAAAGTATAAACCAATCAACTTTGTAATCTTATGTGGAAGATGCCCCATTTTGCCCACATCATTATATACCTTAATGCCAAGTCTTTAATTGTCTCTTCATGCAGATAGAAGGCTAGCTTGGTTCCTACAATAGAAGGGTATGGTGTTCTAGTGTATCTTCTGGGGTAAGGTTTAGGGTCATTGTTTTATCAGTTTTCAATCTTGTCAGTTTGTCAAAGATTTATAACTAATCATTTAAAGAGTTTTTAAATTAAGTTGATATTCATAGAATTTAAAGTTATAAATTTGATTTAATGCTCATCATCTTTAAAGTAACATAGATTCATTTAAAATATCCTTACAAAAAAAACTAAAAAATGACAAAAAAAACAAATTCAAACAAGATGCTGCAAATAGAATAAAGCTTAATGATAGATGAAATGATCTATTCCTAATTAGGATGCCTCATTACTCATATAATACAGTGGCACCTGACTCAATCGGATGTTACATGTCGTGCTTTGATGCCCCACTCGAGTTCGTCATCCACTATTCCACCAATTCTTGTGTCAACGTCCCATTTTTAACAAGTATCTCTATCTCCTTTAACAGAGGCCTACAATTCACCGTAGAATGCCCAGATGCCCCCAAGTAGAAATCACAGACACTATCTTCATCATAGCTGTGGGTCGAAGAGTTTGGTAGCACTTTCGTTGGCCTCAGTGGAATGTATTGACCTTTAATCAAATGAGGGTACATATCTGAAATAGAAGTTTAGAACACCTCCAAGGTATTTATTAATCGTGAGGCTTTCTTTGGTGGATCCGAACGACTAGCTGCTCCTTTTCTTTTTCAATTGTGGGGGCTCTGGACGCGACATTCATTTACATCACTAGCTTTCACTTTTTGATCTATTGAGCTTTTGGAAGTGACTTTTAAGTTTCCTTCATCGATTACATTTTCAATTAATTCCTCAGCTGTCACAAGATCCTTGAAGTCCCCTATTGAGTTTTCTATCATTAACTCAAAGAAATGATCTGGGAGAGAATTATGAAACATATATGATATCTCTTCTTCTAACATGGAATGTTGAACTTGTGACGACACCCCTCTTCATCTTAGGACATATTCTTTAAAGTTTTCAGTAGCTTTCATCCTTATTCCTTGAAGATCTTGACACTTTGGAGCTAAGTCTTTAACATATCGATATTTCCCTACAAAGGTGTTAGCTAGATCGACCCACGTCTTAATTTGCTCTTTACTTAAACGATTATACCAAATTATAGTTGGCCTGACAAGACTATCATGGAAGTAGTGAATCAGCAGATTATCATCGTTAAAGTACCATTCCATCTTTTTGCAAAACATTCTCAAGTAGATTAGGGGACAACTGGTGTCATCATATTTCTCAAAATTAGGAACCCTAAATTCTTATAGGATGACCAAATCATGGACCAATCTGAGTTTTCTCGCTTCTAGTTCTTTGTGGGAGGCATTAACATTTTTCATAGCTCCAATTGTTTCCTTCAACCGCTTGAATTTATCTTCAAATTGCTCATGAATAATGAGGCTCTTCTCTAGGTGTGAGTGAGAAATTTCAGGGTAAGCTATCCTTCTTGACACATTAGTCTGATAACACTGATGTTCTTTAGCAGTTATTTTCCCTTTATCAGCAGCCTTGGTTACCAGCACCTGGATCATTGGTTTGTTCAGAATCTCTTTTAGTCATTGACAAAGAACATACACACACTACAGACGCAGTTGCTCAAACTTGAGATCTCTAAAGAGAACAACACTCTATTTTACCACTAATACTACTAAGATCACTTGATGGGTTTGATATAATATATTTTTTTGTTAATCGATATAATTTTTAAATATAGATAACTTACCATTTTTAACATATGTATTATAGATTTACTTTTCTATAATATAAATCATGTAATGTTAAAAATACAATCTAGTATATAAATCATATATAAATTTGGGGTGTGTGGACACCATAACGAATATGAGAATGCAAGTATTTTACGAGTAATTACATGAGGTAATTATTAAAAACTCTAATTACTTATACATGTTTGAAACAAATATGGTATAATTACACCTTAATTCCTCATGTTATGCTTGATTATACAAATTATAATTACACAATTATATAATTTTAACTTCTAAATAATATTGATTCTTATAAAAGAATTATTCTTAAACGATAATTTTTAAAATATTTAAAAGGTATTTAAAAATAAAATTATTAAAATAGAAAAAGTGTTATAAATATTTAAAATATTATTTATATTATAAAACTTTAACAATAATAATAAATTCTTTTATAGACAATAATAATAAATTCTAACTTGCCGTTGTAGTGATAAAAAATAGATAATATGTTTTATATATTATATAAATAAGAAATATATATATATATATATTTCTTATTTATATAATATATAAATAGATAATATATAAACAAGATTATATATATAGAGAGAGAATATTGTTATTCAATATAGAACTCTTTTAGTTTTACATATATTTAGGACCGTTAGATAAGTGAAAATAGATAATTGAGATAACTTAATTATATTCAATTCAATAAATTAATTATAATAAATTTATTTATAAAAAATATAAAATTAATAACTAGATTCAATAACTTAATTATACTTTATTTTTAATATAATTGTAAAAAAAAAGATTTAAGGATTAGAAACAAAATTTAAAATTAACTAGATTCTATAACTTAATTATATTTTATTTTTAATGTAATTACAGATAAAAATGTTAATGCTTGAAAACTATTAGAAATAAATTTATAAAATCAAAATATTACCAACTGACACATGTCAATATGCAGAAACAAACTACAGATATTGAGCTAAAACTGAACATAAGCCCTAAAATTCTGGTATATGACCGGAACAGGGCAGACCACTGGTAGTGAAATAGAATTGACAAACTTGATCCAAACAAAATTCAAGTTAAATATATTATAGGAGTGTAAACCGAGCTTGAGCGAATAAAGTTGTATTCGTGTTAGTTTATGTATTTGTAAAGATATTCATGTTCGATTTGTGTTTGGTTAAATTTTTAATACCGTGTTAATTTTTGTTTATTTATTTTTGAAAGTGTTTATGTTCATTAAATATTTTAATATCGTGTTCATACTCGTTTATTTATTTTTGAAAGTTTTCTTTTGTTTGTTTATTATTCGTGAACGTGTTCGTTTAGCGTTAGTTTATATGTTCAATTTTTAGTTTTACTCTTTAAAGAAAATGGTAAAATTATTCTCCTAGTGCTTAGACTCCCTAAAATTCACAATTTAAATTTTAACTTTTAGCATGTGTTTAATTTAGTCCCTACCTTCTCTTTAAAATGTAAAAAAAATAAAAGGAAAAAGAGAATCGGTTAAACGGGCTTGTTCATCCCTACCTTCTCAATATTTAAAATGTAAAAAAATAAAAGGAAAAAGAGAATCGGTTAAACGGGCTTGTTCATGAACATAAATGAACGAGTCAATAAACGAGTTTGTTCGTGAACATAAACAAATCGAACACACATTTATTCGTGTTCGTTCGTTTATTAAATGAACATAATTGTTTTTGTTCATACTCGTTTATTTAACTGAGAAAACGAACATAAATGAACGCTATACTAACGGTTCACGAATAGTTCATTTTTACACCCGTAAATATATAATATAAATATAACAACAACAAAAAATAGTATAGCATGAAAATGATCATTTGATGATCAATATGTTCTAGGTAATGGTCCTGCCTCTGATATAATCATCAGATAAAGAAACTAATAGTATCTGTAAAAATACTAGGAGGCATTTATATATATATCAGATTGTGCTGGATCAATACTAAAATTTACCAACAACTGAGTTGTTTCTTGTGATTTTAGAATTATTAGAAGATTTACCTTACACCCTTTGTCTTTGTAGGAATTTCTAGAGGCAGTATTCTTGTGTCCTTTGCGTGCTGCTGCCATTGCACGTCTTCTCTGCTTGGCCAAGCTCTTCACGAGTTCGGTGTCATCTTCGTCACCCTTCTGCTCATCATCTTCCTCCTGGAAGAATCAAAACTAGCATTAGCAATCTCCTTAATATCAAAAGCACTACTTTGTTCATGCACTTACATCTTCAAGAAAAATATAGATGGAATAAAGAAGAAATATATACCTCATTGCTTGAGTTTTGACCTTCAGGGTCACCTCTTTGGCCTGCTTCGGTGCTTTGCAGATTTTCATCTACTTGATCTTCCTCGTTACAACTTGAATTTGTCTATTCCTGAATTGTTTTGCAGACAAGCACATAAAATGGTAATTACAGTAGAGTATGCTTCACCGTACTTTCTGAATTTCATCCTCATCTTTTCTAGTAAAGCCACTGGCAGCAAGCTCCTTGTCAAGATAACCAGCAGTTTTGGCTGTTGAAGAAAAGGAAGGTCTGCTACTTTCATCTGGGTCTACATCTGAGTTATGAATATCATCAGAACATTCTTCAAAGGACAAGTTGAACCTATAAAGACAGGGTTATGGTGTTCAAATACAAGACAAGGTTATTCACTAAGGCCAAAATAACTACCTCCATAGACATTTATCCATGGAGGAGAATCCAAGTAGATGAACTCAGTCTATGCCAACCATAGTCACATGAATCGCGGTACGCTCCGGTACGGGAACGTGGAACGGGATCGCAATTCGCTAGGTCTTTAAAATTCGGTACGAGGGGGATAGACTCATTTTGGATCGCTCCGATACGATGTACCATATAAATTGGTATGACAAGAAGATAAAATTAGAAGATAAAGAATCCATAATTTATGTTAAAGGGAAAAAAAAAACAAACCCAGTTGCCCAGCACCCAGACAAAAAACAAAGCGCCAACAAAAGTAAAGTACACATCAAACAAAGCAGGATGGACTGAAAAGTAGAATTAAAAAAACAGAAAAGACTAACTCAAGGTTTAAAATAAAATATGTTAAAAAGTATTGACCTCGCAACCAATTAACCCCATAATCACCTGAAATGCGGCTCATCCCCCCCCCCCCAAACTCAAAACGACGTTGCTTGGGCCCTATTCTAAACGACGCCATTCTACTAGGCAAATATATGGGATTTTTAGGGTAAAATTTTTACCCTAATTCATTATCTTCTTCAGCCTTAAACCGACCCCGTCGTTCTCCCATTTCCTCTCCCTCAAGCTCCTCTTTAACACTCAACGAAACCCAAAGCCTCCATGGCTTCCGCCGTCCTACGTTCCGACGAGGAGTTAGGACTCCATCTAAACCCAAAGCTCATACCGAATCGTGATTTTGAAACGACAAGAACACGTTCGTACCGCGTTTTGGATCGCATCGTACGGTACGTAGATCGTGGGACTGTTGAGCGATTTCTGTAACTATGATGCCAACACAAGTGTAGAGAATCAGTTTTAAATTCATCAACAAGCTTCTTACATACAAACATCAGAAAGTAACAATGATACTGGGAAAGCTATTAAAGGTTACATAAATAATCATACAGAATGTAATATTAAATTAGGAAAACAACAACTGACCTCTTGACAAAAAACTTGTAAATGCATTCTATATCTCGATCAAAGTACCTGAACAACATAACAGAAACTTTGAAATAAACAAGTATACAACAACTAATTCACAAGTAAAATGATCACAAGAACTAGGAATAGCATCAGATAGAAGATGGTGAAACATACATCTGTGCATTACGATGTGAAACAGATACCATTTGAGGAAAATCAATCATTGTCACCTTTTCATCATCATCAATCTACAGAGAAGAAATTTCAAATCCATATTATTAATTTAAAAGAAGCATTTTTTTCCTTTTTAATTGAAGGAAATTGACACCAAGTAATGACGTGATCTTACTAAAGTTGCAAGCCAACAAGAAATCGTCTAAAGACAGAAAAATGGTCGTTGTGATGAAATGAAGTGTCTCAAAGGAATACCATTATGTTAAACTCATTGAAGTCACAATGAATTAGACCATGTTCTGCCAGACGAACAACAAGGCCAATGATTGTTTCAAATACTGTCTCTGGATTTTGCAACTCTTTCACTTGAACACTGCATTACGTAAAAAAACTAAGAGATAACAAGCAAACTCCAACAGACGGTAAAAGTAACTGAAAGTCCAAAGAATGAAAGATAAGATGAAAAAAATGGGGAAAGAAGAGAATAGCTATCAACACATAGTGAAGATAAAACCTAAAGTTTAATGCAATTATGACAGCACATAGAAAACTTACTTAAAACTGCAACGCCAATTAACATTATCAGTAAAATTTATAGAAACAGCTCAAGAGAAATAGGGTGAAAAGATTTAGTGTTTAAGGGGCAACAGGTTATAATTCTGTATGCTTCTTTCCAACAACCAATTTTGTTCATTCACTTGCTAAGGATGGATGCTAAAGCCACTTGACATGCATACAACAGGATTATATGCAAACAAATCCAAAGGATTAAGGAGAAACCCTTACAGTGGGTAACCTTGGGTAAGTGACATAGCTACACAATGTCTATTACTGTCCACAGCATTTGGTACAGGAAAACCATGCTCTTCCAAAGCCTGCATAAGAGAAATACATGCATAAGTCCTACTTTGTTTACTACAAGAAAGAAACAAAGCCGGTAATGGGGGAAAACATTATAAAAAAGAAACATTCATAAATGCGAATTCCTTGAGTGCAGCTAACCGGGACAAATAGAGCCAATTATAACTACTACGATGTCTCAAATAATCACGCTTAGATTTGACTGCCCTAAAGGAAGTTCTACCAAGCCTATGCAACTTCATTGCCAACCATCTTCACTCACAACCTCAAAGATATCTACAAGAAGTGAAAAATAAGATAATTTTAACGTCTGTCATCAAACATTTTAAAAAACACAAGCTGGTAGATGTTGATAGAAAGAGTTACCAGACTCTTTGCCAACCCCAATTGACAACAACAGCAGTGAAGACTCCACGGTTGACCATGGTTTTAATGGCAAGGAAATCATAGCCAAGATACTTAAGACGAAACCCATCATCTAAATTTAAGAGGGAAAAGAAAGCTTTAATACCTTGTTCGGTTACATATGTATTGGCACAAGGAAAAGCTTAATTATATCATAAGTATTAAAATAGTTTTATATAACATAAAGAAGAACTAGTACAGATTTAAACTTGAAATAAAACCCTAGTAAAAGATAAGACCTCTTCAAAATAAGTAAAATATTTTACTTCCCTTTGTTCAAACCAAGTCATTTGAGTGGCTCAAATTTATCAAGGGAAACTAGTTGATTACTAACTATGTACCAAGACATGTTGAAAAAAAACTATATGCATAGAAGAATTAATGGTAAAACACATAATGGTCATTATTGATTATTGCCTTTTCTTCTTAATATTTTGCTTATTAAAAAGTCCAAGATAAAGCAAATGTAAACCAATGAAATTATGCAAATTACACTTGATTCTAAACGGAAAACATGTTCTTTTTATCATTAAACTTTAGGAAAGCAAAAAAGAAAAATATCATTCAAACGGAATCTATAAACAGAATTTAAAAATGAAAAGAAAAGATAAAGTATAAAACTAACATTTGGAAGAATCATGATGCACATGTTTATGCTTGAGTAAGTTCTTCAAGACCTTGTAAGTGCCTCCATGCCTACAATCAAAATTAATACATTTTATTACTCGCAAAAAATGGCATAATTATAATCATAAACCAAAATAATACTATAATTACGTGAGGGAAGCTATGCGACCGATGAGCTCTGAAGGCACAATTTCATGCTTAAAAAAAACAAATTAAAAAATAAGCAAAGATGAAAATTAAAAGAGAAACTAATGAAATAATTAAAAGTAATAAGAATCATGCATCAATACATTTCGCATGCCCATCTCGACGGCTAAAATCATCTTTGGAGAGATATCTTAAAACATCGACGTCCAGCTTCATCTTGTTCTCTTCTACTGATAATTTATTACAGTTCTTCAATACAAGAATTCAATTCTTTGAGCAAATGGTACCGTTGTTAAGAAGATCAAGCGGCGCGATACGTAAGGGAGATTGAAGGAAGCAAACTCGGGGTTTGGTTTTGGCTTAAATATAAAATAAGTGTCCAAACTATATCACTTTTCACGAATTGATTGCTACAATATTTTTTAAATTATTCAGGTGTCTAATATAACAAACGTTACTACTTTGAGTGCTCGGGTTGTAACTGACATTAGTTTTTTTCATTAAGTGACACATGTCATATTCTGATAATTTTGAATTTTTTAAAATTAAAAATATAATTATATTTATAAAAAAAACATAATTTCTCTTAAATTATATCAAAATGCATAAAAATCTTAAATCCTAATCCTAACCCGTCGCCGCTTCCCTTTTTGGCCATGGTCACCATCGCCGAGTTAGTCTCTGTCATCTTATAGTCATACGTCGTCGTAGTTTCTGTCAATTGATCGTCGAAATCACTTGGGATCGCGATTTTTATCTTAGGTTTCACGGGGTACAAAACATCGATTGACTGTCAATCAACCGTCGATCAATCGTGATTTCATAGGGGTATTGATTATCACGGGTAGGTGAGGTCGGGTGGAGCTTCGTCGACGGCAAAGAGCGGGTTGAAATAAATGTTTTCAAAGTTTTGTGGCTATTTTGAAATTATGTTTGTATTTTTAAATATATATATATATAATTTTTAAATAAAATTTTAAAATCACTCAACTGTGATACGTGTCACTTAATAGAGGAAATTAATAGCGTTTACGGCCCGAGCACCTAAAATGATAACGTTTGTAACGTTAGGCATCGACATCATTCAAAAAATACAATAGGCACCTTTTTGTAGAAAATGTATAATTTAGACACTTATTTTATATTTAATCCTTTTGTTTTTTTAAAGAGAGTTGGCTTGGGGCCTAAAAAAAATTCGGTTAATTTAGGGTTTGGATCTTTTCGGCCTAAACCACTAATTGGGTTTGGTAAATGTTTGCTCATGCATGTAATTTTTTATTTCACTGAACTTTACTTTTTAATAAAATAAAGGTAAGTTATAAATTTATACATTGGATTTTAATTTTTCTTTTATACATTAGAAAAGAAAAAGAAACTCATAGAGAAGCATTTTTGGAAGGATTTGGTTTTGAGTCCTCTGGTTCAGAGACGGTTCGATTTAGGGTTGTTTACTCACCATCACCGACGAAATACGGCAGCCGGAAGCCTTGGGTTCATCTTCTCTTCTAAGAAAAAGAAAGAAAATAAAGAGAGGGATACGAGACTAGGGGAAAATGGCTGTGGAAGGAAAATGTGAACATAACTTGGTTTTAGGGTTTCCTTAAGCCTCGTTTAGAGCTATTATGGGTTAAGAGCATCTTTTTTTTTTATCATTTGGGCTTATTGTGTAAGGGCTCAGCATATTTGAAGATTAAGTCCTCATTTTGAGGTTTTGTAAATTCCAGATTTAGTTCTTTCATTTTACGCATCTTATTTTCTAATCTCTGATGCTTATTTATTTTGATTTCATGCTTATCTTACATTTGGTGGCCATATTGTATGCTATTTACATTTTAATCCTCTTTCTTTTCCATATTTGGGGTTATGTCTACTTAGTTACTATAGCTTGCATTTACGCCATTTTAGTCGCTGTGTTTTTAGTTTCGAACCTGTTATGAATATATATATTTGCACTAATACCCTGGCCTTACATTTGTTTTATGCGTGTACATACGTGAGTATTATCGTGTATTATTACTTAAATATGCATTATATACGCTATTGCACAGTATATATATATATATATTCCTCCACGATATATATATATATATATATATATATATATATATATTAATGTACATATGCTATACGTGTTATACTACGCAGTGCATCACAACGCACATGTACATATATATATATATATATATATATATATATATATATATATATTATTAATTTCCATAACATATGTTTATTTATATTAAATATTAATTTTAAATATGCATACACTGTTTATGAAAAAAACATTATTTTGTGAGGGGAATCCAAATAAACACGTCTTAACGGACGATGAGTGTGCTCCCAAGAATTATTTGTACAAAATAGTATTTTTTATATTCAAATGAGTTTTTATTTTATTTTTATTTATTTATTTTTCCCAAATATATTAAATATATGTATTTTATCTAAAAAAATCAAGTCAATATTCTTGTGTGGGGGGAATTAAAAGAAACGTGCCTTGACTTACAAGGAATGTGTATTCGAGGATTGTTCGTACAAAATGATATTTTTTATATACTCGAATGATTTTTTTCGAACATATTGAATATGTATAAATTATTAAGAAAATCAAGGAATGATCTTTTGTATGAAGAATTCATGGAAACGTGCCTTGACTAACAGGGATTGTGTTTTCGAGAATTGTTCGTACAAAAGAAAACCCTTTTTAAATTTTTCTCAAAATGATCATAATTTAAATGCATATTTGAGTTTGCAAATTTCAATGTTTGGATGACATATAATCGTTTAGGTACCAACTTTGAATATTTAGAGCTTTCTAACTATGTTTTGTCTCGTTAGGTAGGGGTGAACGCTACGTTTACATGAGAAAAAGATTTTTCTCCGCATGGACTTTAGCAAGTAACCTCTAGGGTGCATATACCTTATGTTTTCGAGCGAAACATTGAGTTTTCTCGCATGGACATAGGAAAATACATCCTCTCACTACAGCAAAACAGAGTTTTAGCGGCCTTTTTTAGTCTTATAGCGGCGTTTTTAAGCGCCGCTAAAAGTATTTGCGGCGATAGGAAAAATGCCGCAAGAAGCGCCAGCAATATCAACGTCGCTAAAGTTAGCGGCGTTTGAGAACAAAAAACGCCGCAATAGGTCAATTTCTATTACGGCATTTTTTGAACAAATGCCGCAAAAGGTCGATATCTATAGCGGTTTTTTGGAACAAACGCCACAAAAAGTTATGATATATAGCGGCGTTTCTAGAAAAAACGCCGCAAAAGGTCAGATCTATAGCAGCGTTTTTTGATACAAACGCCGCAAAAGAGTAGACCTATACTGGCGTTTTTAGAACAAACGCCGCAAAAGGTCAGACCTATAGCGGCGTTTTTGGACACAAACGCTGCAAAAGGTCAGACCTATAACGGCATTTTTGAACACAAACGCCGTAAAAAGTCATACCTATAGCGGCGTTTTTGGATACAAACGCCGCTAATTACCTTTCTTTAGCTTTATCTAATTAACAACAACCATACATTTTAATTAAGACAAAAAACATAAAGAAAAATACTTAACAACAAAATAAATTAAAGTTTTTTTTATGGAGAGAGAACCTTAAAAGACATTAAAGTACAAATGAGTTACAATTGAACCTCAAAGTGTAGATATACATGGATTTATTGTTCGATACATCCTCAATTTCACTAGCGTCATCATCATAACCTCCAGATATGCCTTCTAAAGCTACTTTGTTTCCCACTTCATTGGAATTTGTCATATTCATCGTCTTGACATCTTATTTGAAAGTATCATTTGACAGTGAATGATCTCTCCTCAATAGATTAAAAACAAATGGGAAACGTTGTGCCAGTCTATTGAAGAAGCCGCTTTTTGTTGAAGTTTGTTCTTCAAGATTACTGCAATTACAATAATTTAGATGAGACTAAGAAGAAAATGAAACAACCAGCAGAACTTGCATTCATAACCTACATGTGAGTGATTGAGAACTGAAAAAAGATGTTGCAACAAACAACAAAAACAGGAAGTCAGGAACCATGAAAACTAAAATATATTCTACATAAGAATGTAAAAAATGTCATAATAAAGAAAAAATTTAATAATGTATTGGTTGCCATCTTACTTTTAGAAGTTAGAATTCTTACCCCAAGATAATAACTCTTGTGACTAGAAGGTTGGGCTCCAGCTTAGGATCATGAAATACATATATAATAATGTCCTTTGTGTACTCTGTAGTTTGACGAAATTTACGCAAAAAGGCTTGCAAATCGTCATCGCTGATAACATTAGAACTTGCATGCATAAGATTTTATTCTCTAGATTTAGTCTGACACATATATCTTCAAGTATTAATATTTTATCTTCTACTCATACCGCTTCTGGTGCTTCAAAACCCTTTCAGACTTCTTCAATGCCTTATTACACTGTGAGGTAACATGAGGCAGAAGATAGACCAGTTATCAAGAACCAACAACATGCAGTTAATATTAACACCATTGCCTAGAGGACAAGTTTCTATTTTACATAAACTGTTACATTATCAGTGCAGTAGCCTAGATTTAAATAATTCAGATACTTCTTTAACCACAAACATCAAATCATCCAATAGGTAACTGTAATGGACAGGCATGTAAAACAACAGAACAAAAATACATAAAAGCAGAAGGAGAAAAAAAATACCCATAACTAATATTTGGAGGTAGAGGCATATTTTCAATAGTCATCTGCTGCTTCAACCTTTCTTGAGCTTCATATTCCTGATATATAGCATCAAAGATGATAAACAGGAAGATACAGAAAAGAAACATTTAAGAAACCAGTTAAAATGACAGACTGAGGGAACCATGGTTTACTAAGATTAATTAGACTATTTACAAGCAGAAAAAGAAAGCATAACTTGCCTTCAGATCAAAAGAAAACTTCTTTTGCCCAAAGTTGACATGAACCCTGCACATTTTGAAATAAATAAAAAAGCTCATTAGAAAAACTTGAAATATCATAATTGCATGATGATGAAACTATGTAATAAATATCAATGCAAATAGTAAGGAAAAACCAAAGTAGATAAGATATATCGTAATTGCATTTTAGGTGTTTTTAACAACCAAAGCAGCATATCATCACCAGAAAGGCCAACCTACTAGCATACCGAATGAGAAGAGTTTGTTTGATTTTTCAAATAACAAAATCACTATAAGCATCATTTGCAAATTGCATATAAAAGTCACATCCATAACACATACTTCTGCCACTTTTGCATTAATCACAAAATTTCCCCTCGGACATATAGCCTAATTATAACATTCCAAAGCCAAGTTTTTTGAAAATATACATGACATTATTAACGGAGTAGGACAATACTGTGTTATATTTGATTTAAACATAGCGCACCAATTGCCCAAGGATAGGGCTATAAACTAGCTTAGCAGAGTCTGGCAAAAGCCTACTACACTTCATCTTGATAATTTATTAACTTGCTCAAGCCACATTTAACCTCTGTTCAGATCTGAAAATTTTATATTGAAGCCATATAAACCGACTCTGGCACTGTCACTATCATGAAATAAGTTTGAATAACCTCAGGCAACTTTTAGCTTATTTTACCCCTTAAAATAATTTTACAAGGCCAAACAATATGTTGGAAGATGGTAGGAAAAAAGTGTCATAACTAACCCATCACTTCTCATTCATTATAGACAAACCTCAATGTATCAATTAAATGCAACTGAAGAGGAAGGAATACAGAGAAATGGCATATCCATTATTCCTATATTTCGCCAAATGCAAATATGGGTACGTTTAACAACATATAGATGAGAGAATTCATATAAATACACAATAAAAGAAGGTAAACATACTCCTCATTTTGGCTGTGGACAGCAATGGTGGGAAACAAGCAACGGTTCATTTCCTTTTCCTTGCTAAAAGTTCCTACTATTGCCCCATTTTTACTGGCATCAACATATGAGCATACAGAATCATGAGAATCTTCATAAATGAACAGAACTTCACATGTAAGGAGCTTAGACATTTGAGCCACAAGTGCTCCTAAATACAGTGCTTGATGAACAACTGCACTTACGTGAAAAGGAATTCCTGTGAAGCAAAGTTTATGCCGCCACCAACCGTATCTCCTGTTATATATGTTGGACCAAAAGCATCTCCCTTTGCTTGCCCACGATAGAGCCTACCATCATCCCCATGATACCCGCAACTGTTTACTTCCCACCTGACACAGTTAAGGATACTTTGAAGTTAGTGTGTACATATAAGAATTTACGAAAAATAAAATTTTTCTTATATGTATTACACAATTAAAAGCTTTCATCTTGATTATATTTCTTTCATTCTTTAAAAATCTTGTGTTTCCCACAATATTAAAAGAGAGAATTCATTCCTTTCTCCCCCCCCAATGCACACACATTCCCAATCACTAAAAGGAGATTCATTTATCTAAATATTCTGGATCTCTCACTAAAACAAGACATAAGCCTAATTGAACTGAATTACCAAAAATAGGGACCCTCGACACAAGATCATTTCTTTGACATAGGAGGAGATTTGCTTCTCTCAATATCCAGAATCTCTCATCAAAACTAGTCATAGAATCAGTTGAACTGAATGAACAACAGGCAGAACACAAGATCAGTTCTCTTTCACTTCAACTAAGAGCAACTCCCTTTCCTCTTTTTCCAGACTGGATTTAATCTTCTTATGCATTGTTTTCCATTATCAAGCAGCTATAAACGATCATACATACTGATAAAACTAGAAAACATCAAATGAAATTAATTCTCACTCTATCCTTCCTTTTCTTTTTCTCTCTTGCTCCTTTGTTAACTAACTGAAAAGCGCTCGGTTATTTTTCTCTCTTGTTTTTCTTTTTTTTTTTCTTAATTTCCAGTTTTCCCCAATTCATCAAACAAATGAAAACTATTTCAAATGAAAAGTACTCCAATTAAAACTGGTTTTCAACAACAGTATCTTGAAACAGAGAAGAAGAAAAAAGCCAGAGATTACCCCGGTTGCCTGTGCATCTTGAAGCCTTCACTGGTGAATCCAATAGAAATTTGACCCTTGACTCCAGCGTCCTTCACATAAATCTTGAAGTAATAAACCAGACGCTTTACAGGAACCGGGTTATTGGCTTGAACCACACCGTCATCATGGCCATGGAGGCTTACGGCAGTATACTTCACCGACAACTTATCAGGCGCCACCACCAAGAGGGGAATGAAAGAGGGAGATATCTGGGTTGAATGTAAGGGGAAGATGGATCGAACATTGGAGGTCGAAGGATCAAAGGATGAGAGTGGATGCGAAGAGATAAAAGGGAGGGGAGATATATTTCGATGCCCATACTGAATCTATGAAATTAGGGTTTTGTTTTGATATGTTAAAGTAGTGTTCAGTAGCAACGTTGTTTTACGTAAACGCCACTAGGTTATAACAATTGCGGCATTTGGTATTAAAACGCCACTAAAGTATGAGTCTATAGCGGCCTTTGGTAATTAAAACGCCACAAAAGTACGTGTCTATAGCGGCGTTTGTGTAAAAACGCCACTAAAGTACAAATCTATAGCGGCGTTTGGTATTAAAACGCCACAAAAGTACGTGTCTATAGCGGCCTTTGTATTAAAATGCCACAAAAGTACGTATCTATAGCGGCGTTTGTGTAAAAATACCACTAAAGTACGAGTCTATAGCGGCGTTTGGTATTAAAACGCCACAAAAGTATGTGTTTATAGCGGCGTTTGTATAAAAACATCACTAAAATACTAGTTTATAGCGGCGTTTGTATAAAAACGCCACTACATTATGATTCTTTAGCGGCGTTTTTATACAAACGCCACTAAATTATAGTATTTTGCGGTGTTTGTTTAAAAATGCCGCTATATGTAAACAATTATCGACGTTTGTAGTAAAAACGCCGCTACATCCGTCGCTAAAAACCATTTTTGCTGTAGTGTCTCGAATTGAACTTGGTCCATTTAAGCATATAATGGGTGATGATTGAGGGTCTGGCAGGCCTGAGGGGGTACCAATAAAGGACAATTTGAGGACCCTTTTAGTAGTACCGAAACTCTGCTCATTTTGTACAGGAACTCTATCCGTGGATCTTCACAAAAGTCACAAAGGGGAACTCACTCTAACCTTGCTTAGATTTACTTCTTGTAAAAGGCATGAGAACTAGAAAAGTATGCGGCTAGGTTTTTGTTTCCGCACAAAGCATGCGAACTAGAAAATTACGGTTAAGATTTAATTTCCAAATAAAAGCATGGAGGTATAGTTCGAGCCTTCGATGGAACTAAGAGGAAAGTGTTGGGAAAAATTTGTATTCGTTTAAGTATTGGCTTGTCTACCTATAAGGTTGAATTCATTGTAAATGATATCTTGACTACTTACAATTCTCTAATGGGAAGGCCTTGGATCCATAACACAGGGGCAGTTCTATCCACACCACACCAAAAGGTGAAATTTGTTATTGAATGAAGGTTGATATGCATCAATGCTAAAGAATACATTATTGCCTCTGTTTCCACTAGTGCCCCGTACATTGAGGTGAGTGAAGAAGCTCTTGAATGCTCTTTCAGGTCATTTGAGTTTGTTAACGCCACCTTTATTGCTGAGGAAATGAAGATATCTAGGCCCAGATTGTCTAACTACACCCAAATGAAAATCAAGTTGACCTTGGGAAGGGGAACAAGAGCTGGAAGATGTCTAGGAAGGCGTCTACAAGGATATGCTAATGTAATGTTCTTGACCACTAAATGGGACCATTTTGGTTTGGGGTATCAACCAACCCTGAAAGAGAAACTAAAGGAAATTTAAAAGAGCCAAGAGAGGAAAAGAACAAGAATGTCTGGAGAGGACCTCAAGTGGGAGATGACTTTCCTACCATTTTATGACATTTTTATATATGGGGCATATGTGTACCAAGCAAGGCAACCAGTCAAAATACCATTCATTGAAGACGCCCTAGGGGATCTGAGCATCAATGCCATCTTGAGTGATAAAGCTAAAAGGGGAATGGCTGTAGGAATTTACCTCGCACCATCATGCTTCGTGTTGAAAAATTGGACTGTAGAGGAGTTACCTGTAGTTTACAAAACCTTTTCGGAGTAATACGTGAAAACTTTCCCTATTGCTCAAACTCAGGACAATAGTTGATTTATTATAAGGGTTAATCTATATGTATTTAATTTACAATAAAATATGCATTATGTTATTTCTCACTTGGAAAACATTTTTTTCTTTTAATTTTTATTCTTTATCATTTATGTATATTATTTCGTTCTATTTATTTTAATATGGGATAGATCTTCTTGTATATGTATGTCTATATATATATTCTCGTTCGTTATTCTTTGAAGACCTTAGATATCAATGCTATGAATGACGATGACCCTAAGCTAGAGATTAATTTTGGGCTACCAATATGTCAAGGGGAAATAAAGGATTGTGATAATGATGAGGAATGTGACTTGCCTTCTGAATTACTAAAAATGGTGGAAAAGGAAGATAAACAAATTCTACCTCATAAGGAGACGACATAAATTTTGAATTTAGGATCAAGTGAAGAGAAAAAAAAAGTAAAGATTGGCACCACTTTATCTATTGAAGAACGTTATAATTTGATTGAGTTGCTCTAAGAGTACAAAGATGTGTTTGCTTGGTCATATGAGGACATACACTTTTTGGATACAAAAATGGTAGTGTATAAGTTTCCAATAAAGCTAGAGTGTAGACCAGTGCAACAAAAGTTAAGAAGAAGACATAAGATGCTTCTAAAGATAAAGGAAGAAGTGAAGAAATAATGTGACGTGGGATTCCTCCAGGTTTCTGAATATCCTGAATGGGTGGTTAATATCTTCCCCATGCCAATGAAATATGGGAAGGTCCGTATGTGTGTTGACTATAAAGATCTTAAAAGAGCAAGCTCGAAGGATAGTTTTCCTTTGCCACACACAAACACCTTGGTGGAAATTATTGTTGGAAATTCCTTGTTTTCATTCATTGATAGGTTCCCTAGCTATAATCAAATAAAAATGTACCCTGAAAATATGGGAAAGAAACCACGTTTGTCACCATGTGGGGAACAATTTACTACAAGATGATGCTATTTGGCTGAAGAATGCAAGGGCAACGTACCAGATGTTAGAGTATGCCCAAAGACCAATTATATGATGATTGTAATAATACATTTATTTACCGATTTTTTAATAAAGGCATTGCCAATATTATTTTCAGTTATATGTCTGTTTAACATAAACTGAAATATAATAAAGTCCATATAATAACATTATTAAAAGATCCATAGTCAAGTATTATTATGGGCATGGACAATAATAATACGCTTAAGACTAACATGTTATTGATGACAAGAAGTTGTCATTGACATAGAGATGTCAGAATTGATACATGATTATATTGTTAGAGAACAATATTGGATTAACCCATCATGAGTATATGTCTTGGATTATTATGTAACAGTCATAACATTGCTTATGGTGATGACTATATGTATTATCCTCATACTTGAGATCAATGTCATCCCAACATATATTGTTGTATGTTTTGATACAGTTAAACATGCTTAGTGACTGGTTGCACTATAAAGACTGATATTGAATATATCTCGATATATGTAGTGGGGTGTACATGGTTAAGATAGGATTTGTCCTGCCTGCATAATATGAAATATATCACAGGCCACTTGATTGAGTGAGACTAGAAATGCATGGCCATGCTCGAATAAGTTGATATGTGATATCACAAATTATTCGTTAATTATAGTCTACTCTAGATATCAAGAAAAATAGATGGGCTATACAAGTGTGACTATTCTAAGACTTGTGCCTATTCTAGATATAAAGGACAAAAGTATGTAATACATAAAAGAGTTAAACACGAAGATGATATGTCGAATCATAATTTCTTGTAACTTAGGTGACAATGATATATTGCTAGATGTCACTCATTGTATGTAATATTAGAATTGTTCTAATAATTACTACTAACGTTACAAGA